AAAATATTTAGAGTGCTAAAATGCAATAAAAAGAGGTGTGTCCTATTTACATAAAGATTACATGTGGGTTGTATTCAAATTGTATTCAATCATATGTATTCGTCCAGCAACGGAGACATTTACAGTGGCTATAGACATGTTTTTGCCATCGATTATTGTATCATACTGTTCTGTACAGATGAGGCTGTCATAGATTTATTTATATGTGTGCCTGTGATTATTTTTATCATACTGTTCTGTACAGATGAGACTTTGTCATAGATTTATGTATATGTGTGCCTGTGATTATTTTACCGTCCTGTACAGATGAGACTTTGTAATCAGATGTAGTCTATGTATATGTGTGTCTGTGATTTTATACTGAATGTAAAGTAACTGGAAATACCTGTGTGTGTGTGTGTGTGTGTGTGTGTGTGTGTGTGTGTGTGTGTGTGACTCCTGTCCAACCTCCCACATTTTTTTTTTATGTGTGCATTGTTATTTGTGCTTGAGCATTTGTACTTTATTTCAATGAAATTAGTTGTAATTATTGTCCTACATTTTAATTTGTTTTACAGAGAGGTTTCACAGCTGCCTGGGCCTAGTGGCCCACAGGCGGCGTTGACCCAGCAGCCAGAACATCCATCTGTGCCTGACCCTAGGTCAAGATCTACCGTGGCTCAAGGGCCTTCACCAGAGCCATCACCACCAAGGACCAGCAAACCAGCATCACTACAGCTGCCTCCACCTCCATCTGCGGCTGCCACCAGGTCAAGATACACCTCAGCACAAAGGCTCCACCACAGCCATCACCTTCAACCCAGCCAGCAAGGAGGTCTCGTGGAGGTCTCGTATAGCACTTGTACACCCCACCTACACAGCAGCCCATGCACCATCACCCCCACCTACACAGCAGCCAGACCCACTGTCTTGGAAGACAGACAAAGACCTTGACATTTATAATGAATAGTTGGTGGAAAGTTCTGATGTTCAATATTGTAAATAGTGAGATTTTCCAGTTTCTTATATTTATATAAATAGTTGGTTGAAAAAAACATATTTATAATAAATTGTTGGTTGAAAAAAAAAGTTTGAATGCTCAATTTGTATTTGTACACATCACATGAACCTTGGTATGTAATATGAAGTCATTATTCAGTCATAATGTATCTCATTCCCTGCTGTGGTGAAAGTAGAGTGATAAACACCTGTTTTACTCCAAATTTGAAATTATTTTTTTTCATTTTGTTTTACACATGTAGATACAGTGTAATTCAAATATTTCACAAATTGTATGATCCTAAGACTTTGGTAACCAAATCTAAAACATCAAAAACAATTGGATGAAATTAGTAAATTTGAGTTTTCACAAGAGTTTTGAAGATTTTCCGAAAATCGGATGTCAAATGTTAAGCTTTAGAGCTACTTATCTCATCACACAGTGCTCTAAGGTGAGTCATTTGCATTTATAGCAAGACCAGAGATTGTCCTGAAAATTTTGATATTAACACATGGGGTGCCATGTTATAAGAAGTACATTTAAAAAGGTCATTTAAGGAAACATCTAAAAATCGAGAAAATACCCTTAGACTCCAGAGGGTTAAAGAGGGTTTCATCCCTCCAATTCTATACACTGTTTCATATAGCAAGACGACTGTTACCAAGACACCATTCAGAGAAAAAGGCATTCAAAGTTTGTTAACAATATTTTAGCCAGTCATTTTAAAAAGGGGCCCATTTGGCCCCCCCTTAGGACAACCATTGGATTAGCTGGGAATCTGAAAACTGTGTTGGTCTATAAACCGGCTTGTTAGCAGGCTGTCCCTCATCACTTTCAACAGAAAGTGGATAGATCACAGAGATCCATCGTACTGATTAGGCCAACTCATTTTTAGTTAGTCGCATCGTAGACTAAATAGATTTTCTGGAAGACTTTAAAACCAACCTAAACCCCAAAACACACATTTTTCACATTAATCCACGATCTGGGAATGTACCTTCGCGACATCCGACTGATTTCAATAAAGCGGGTCACATATATTCAGCAGTTAAACTCACTTTACACAAACTCAAGCAAAGCAATATGAAACTGACCTTTTTCAAAGCACACATTGTAGTCAATGTGCACCACCTCTCCAGTGGTCATGTCAATCAACACGTTGTCGAGGTGACGGTCACCGAGGCCGATGATGTATCCCACCATTGACATGACAGCAGTGGATCTGGCGTAGGACTGCAGCAGAGAGAGACGGGTTAGAAACCAAACAGAACATTTAATAATCAGACATGTCCGCTGAGCAGGGGTTACCTGAGTGACCCTCCACCACTCGCTGGGGGTGGTGCACGAACACCACAGCTCCTTGGCCAGCAGGTTTGAGGGCGTAGTCTCCATCAACTCCTTCAGCACGTCCTTCATGACGCTCAGGGGCCAGTCTCGCCTGGTCACATCCAGACTGAGCCCCACAGCCTTCAGAGCCGGCCCGATGCGGCTGTAGTACAGCTCACTGGGGCGGGGGACCGGGGGCACCGGCTGCTGCTGGAAGGAGTCCTGAACCTGGTCAGGACAAGAACAAGTGTGTCAATTTCACTTGAGAAAAAAACGTTTTAGTTGTGCTTTAATATGGGTTGCAACAGGAAAGGAGCTGCGTTACCTTCTGAGCCTGCAGCACCGCCTCCCTCTGCTGCCAGCGCTTGTAAAGGCCGAAGAGCGGCGTGGCCCCGTCTACCCACTGGATGAGTCCAGACCGGGTCCCGAGGGGGGTGACGGAGTAGTGGCGGGCGTGGAAGTGCGGCTGCTCCTGCTGGTTGATCTTGGTGAACATGGTGTTGACGATTGACAGGAACTGCATGATGCGCTCGTCCAAATGCAAATCCTCCAGACCTGAGAGACAAGAGTTCCATCACTACTGACACATTTCAACTTCAGCCCCCACTCACTAACATCCTCCTCCCCATCCCCTGCTCCGATTTGCTCTCCTACCTTTAAAGAGGTACGGGTAGTTGCGTCCGTCGGAGCCCAGGAAGAACAGCTTCTTGGGCTTGGTTTTGGTGGGCAGGATGGTGATGGTGTTGCCTACGCTCTGTATGGTGACGGCATCTGATGCCGATACCTCACCTGGGAGCGCCATCTCTGTTGTTGTCATGGAGACGAGGCGAGGACTGATCTCGTCCAGGTGAAGCAGATAGCTGGCTCGCTTCTGAGAACGCTGCTGCAGGCTCATCATGATCTGATCATAAAAAACTTTATTCATTATATCAATGAAGATGACTAACTGTTAATGAGCCGACAACCACATTGAAATCAGAGTCGAACAATTAACCTAAATTGTATTGAAATCACAATATGGGCTAGTGCAATATAGAAATCACAGTAAGTGGACTATTAAGTCAAAACATGTGAGAATATCTGAATAAAGTTGAAGAAAAGTCCTGGCATAAAAACGGTATCTTAGGGTGCATTCGTACCTAATAGTCCGCTTCTCTGGTGCGCACCAGGGGCCTCATTTATAAAGGGATATACGCTCAAAAAAATGGCGTACGGCAGTTTCTACGCCATGTTTGCGATTTATAAAATACTAACTTGACGGGAAAACGTGCGGTCCTCCACGCAAACTCTAACCCATGCGTACGCACTAAGCACAAAAACGGGAGAGACGAGAAACTGCGACACTGTTGGCAGAATGAAGAATGGAGAGAAATATGTGGAAATAATACCATAAATAAAATGTTACCTCTCATTTATCATATATGAAGAATTCATTTTCAAACATTGATTAAAGCCAATCTTAAAATGATTTAACAAACGCCTGTTTGAGACTCCTCAGTGCACACAAAAACATAACTGGGAGAAATAAATAAATACGGATATGTTATTTAAAACCACCTCGAATATGTTGTGTTAATGTTATGAAATGTTTTCTCATAAATGATGCGGAAAGCAGGAGGACAGAATTACGTCTAAACTGACGCCGTTTTGCATTTCTATAGGTTGTAGATACGAGCATGGTTTTATATATGTTTAATACATGTTTAATCGTGTTTTATGCCGTTTGCCAAGACTTGATAAGTCGCTCGTAAAACACAGGAGGTATGGAAACTAAGAGCACCATATGTGGTAAATTGTACAGCTAATATAACACAACACATTATTTGTATTTCCTAAAGTTTAACTGACGGATATAGAGTTGCTGCGGGGGGGGGGGGTTGAGATGCACAGGCTGCAGTGGAGACGCTGCGCACAGCTGATCGACAGCTGGGACACAAACCACCAAATACAAAAACATAATTCAGATCCAGTCGTCATGACAACACTCCGGAGGGATTCCCCGATCACTTCTTACAGTTTCTCATCAAGGGGCGGGTCTCGTGTCCCCGGTACAAACACACTGCCTGTGGAAGGCTATGTGTATTTTTTTTGTCATTAACCTTTTTCGGACCACTTATTTATTTATTTTGGTGACGATCCGACCTCCATGCTGCTACTCTGGTTCAAACTGCATCCACCAAACAATATGATTTATCTCCACCTCCCCAAAATAACCAGAATCTGACACGGTGTGAGCAACACACTCTCACTCCATAAACGTCCAGGAGCAACGTTTGGTCAGGGTCCCGTGGCGTGCAGTTGTGACGCTCCTAGGCTCCTTCAGCTTCATAAAGGGACGCAAATAGCTTTCAACTGATTGCAATGTATTCCCATCTGCGGCGGGATTTGACGCTCATGGAAGCACGGCATTCGTTTGTGTCGGCTGCCCTTAAAGGCAATGTGAGCGTCCATTCCCATTGGATAACGGAGAATTGTACACCCGGAAGTAAGTATTCCCCTTACTGTCGATTGATTTGACAGTGATATCTGCACTACTCATCGACTAAAAAACACCAGATTATCCTTGTTAATTACACAACATTGATTGGTTTAAATTGTGTGCAATGCTTTTGTATTTTTCCCCTTCGTTTCGGAGAAACAAATATTTTTTCGGAGTAAAGGATGGCAGAAGACACTACACTACCCAGAATCCCCAGCTATCGTTTAGGAATACACCATGTGCTCTGTTTGACAAACCCCGTTTTTTTTCACCATTCATTCCAATGTATAATTTTCTGCTTCCGGGGTCCC